ATCGCCTCCATTTGTCTGACAAGTTGAGTTGTCTTTTTTGGAGCAGGGCTCCGTGGAGAAGTATAGTGACAAGGAGATAGCTAAAGAACAACACGATTTGTGTCATCTTCCGCTGGATGAAGGAGAGGCGTTTGTGGTTCGATGGGTCTTACAAATCGAGGATATGGGAGATTCGCAATGATTTCGTCAAAATATATTCTACACCCATTGCACCGTGAACAAGAAGCTATTTAGTCTTATCTATATGGAGGGAGCAGAAAAAACATAGTGTCTTCACATATGGCGGAGAAGTTGGGCTTCATGACTTAGAGGCACTCCCAGCCATATTCTCTAACGTGGTTGAAGGAGAAAAAGTCAACATCGGTCGGAGGTGCCTAGTAGTGTTTTCAATTAGGAGCCAGTTGCAGCTGCAAAATCAAGTGTGGTGCGACTTAGTCTCCATGGATGGTTGTCATCTTTTATTGGGGAGACTATGACAATTTGACCCGCAGAACTCAGCACAAAGGATTTAGAAACACTTATACCTTTACTAAGGATGGGAAGTGCATGGTCCTTATTCCTTTGGTGGAACACCAAATCATAGGCACCCTTGCCAGCAGAGCAGCATCGGTGGGACTGGCTTTGTTGACGACAGATGATAGAACTGAGACACAGGCTCCATACATGGGATAGTCACGACAGAGAGCATTTCAAGATATCACGGTCTATATCTTACCACCTTGGCCACCACCGTTTGGAGAAGTTCTGGCTACTCTCACTTCAGATCTTGTTGAGCCGATCATGGACTACTTTGAGAGTATTCAACAGTATAGGCGATACATGTAGACTTAGTTCAGTTCAGTAGTGAACCCCCAAGAGAGTGGATTGGTATGGATGTATGCTCTCAAATGGAGAAAACTCCCCCAGTGTTTTGGGGGATAGTGCAATCGTCGATGGGATCGAGGTGCTTCTCAGACCACTGTAGATCCTTTAGCCCTAGACGATTACAGTAACTCTATCACTGTCAGCATACAACCAAAAGCTTCGACGAATGAAGTCGAAGCTCCCCCAACCCCGGGAGATTGATGCGGGACTGAAGGCTGGAACGGTCGGTCCAACATGTGAGTATCGATCCAACAAGGAGGTTGGACCAGCTAGCCTTCTAATGGGCCGGGATCTACCGTTCTTTTCCCTCCCCTCCCTATTTTATTTATTATAAATATATGTGTTATTTTCTAGGGTTGCGGTTTTTGCTAAGATTTCTTTCTAGACAGTTGTCAGCGTCCCTCTTTTCCCTTTTAGAGTTGTTTCTAATGGCGAGAACATGCTTCGATTGTAACTCATCCTGAGATATGTATATTCCCTATTCTTGCTTGTTGTCATCTTACCTGCGCCCCACTATATTGATTTCTCGTTGTCGTTTTCTTTTTTTTTTTTTTTTTGTGCCTTAAAATATCCTAAGAAATTTTGAAAAAAAAAAAGAAATTGCATGAAAACAATACGATGAAATGCCTCCATCAAATATACTTAGCGATACCGTTATTTTTTGTTTTTAAATATTTATCATATTGGAATTATTCATATTGTATCACTAAATAATTTCTTCAGTTTTTCTATCCCTAGTGAAAATAACCTTGGAGTATGTATCCATGAAATATAGAAATTTGACTTTTAATCTCAGAATAATCATGTAGAAATTGTCATCTTTCATGGCTAAACTAATTTTGTTTAAATTATTTCATTTTGTTTTTCTGTTAACTATCCTTGTTATTATGTCCTGCATCTAGAAGACACTGTGATGCAATTGTAAACTCTGAAGCCATTTTTTTTAAAGCAACAAAATTTTATAACAAGCGAGTGAAGAGGCTGCATAATAATGCAGTTGTAAAAGACATCTCCCAAAAGAAAAAGTAAAGGAAAATGCATCAAATTAAACTTATTTAACATTAAGAGACCAAAGACATCTACGAGAAGTGGATCATGCCAACTCAGACTTAAGCTAAGTTCAGAATTCCAAAATCATTGAGGGAGTTATTACGTCTGACTTAGAAGTTAGTAAATCTGGGAGAATGCCAAAATACTTCCTTTCAACTAGTACCTCAATGAGAGGATACAAAGTAAAATCTTCCATACAATGAATCAACAAATTCTAATATTATATTGAGATTGAATCGAGTTAGAATAATTAAAACTCTCAAACAACCTCTTGTAGCATTGGTGAGCATGACTGCAATAACGATGGGAGAATAAGTACTAGAAGTAGCAATAAGATCCTCAATAGGTTGGCAAAAATCCGGCGTAAGCATAACTCTAGGAAAATCAGGAGACCAACTTCCAAAGTTGGAGGAGTAGAGAGGCATTACCCACCAACAAACCATTAACGACATGAAAATGCACTATGCCGGGACATGAATCTCGAGTGATATTCAAATCATAAGAATAACCCAAGGGGATCAAGCAAAAGAGTAGCACCCAACAAACTAGAAGACCTCAATTGATTATGAGTATTAACCGCACAATCTTTTTCTTTGTTCAAGGAATGCTAACATTGATGGATGAACCTTCAAGGACCATTTCCTTAATTCTGGTGACAAGCAATAAAATTATGGCCAAAAAACTTGCATGATTTGTAACATCTTGGAGCAAACCTTGGAATTTTACTTTTTGACAATAGCCATTTAAAGAAGTATAAATCTATTCCTCTAAGCTAAAGGATAGAAATGTCTATCTCAATAAGGATACAAGCTACAAATAATCAAGAGAATCTAGCTCTGTCATCACATTTGATATAAGATATCGTAGAGTTTAGGATTTTCAAGATGAGTAGATATGTGATATTTTTTCTAATTGATTTTTTATATTTTATGCAAACAATTAAAGCAATAAATACCATAATAAACATTCAAATCTCATGGGAAAGCAAACTATCTATCGTGAGCAACTAATTACTTCTAAAGGTGATGAATATAAACAAATCATAATCTGATTTTTGTTAAAAAGTCTTGATGCCCTAATGAAATCAAACATGAGAAAAGAGAACCATGGAAATTACCATAATACATGAAGCTAGATATCTAGTAAATCTGAAATTGCATCAATTACACTGTCAATCAATTCCCAGGAAATTGGAAGAAAATTTAATGTGTCAAACCTTGAGAATTGAAATACCTAAGGATGAAGAAAACACTATATCCGTAAAATTAAATTTTATTCAAGCTAAAACCTTTTTACATGGGAACACCTTATTTATAGAAACTTGAAATATGTAACATAGATAAGTACTGGGAATTTTATTATATTGATCTAACCGTGGTCAAACCATAAGATAAGAAAAGTTTCGTTTGACTATAGTCCAAAATAAAGATAAAGGGGCAGGTTGCTACCGCCCCGTTTATGGAAGTAGAAGCCCCAGATAGCTACAATCCCGGATAAGAACAAGCTATAGATTGCTATAATATCAGTTAAGTCCCTCGACAAAATAATAACTGTAGGTATTAGGCGTGTTCACTTACACATCACACAATTCTTATATATTTACATATTTAACACCTAAATAGTCATATTTACATGCATGTCACTCAAATATTTAACATCACCTCAAAAATACCACCGTCACTATCTTTTTAAAAGTGAAATACACATTTTCATGCAAAAGTTTATGACACTAAAGTGTTATAAGTGTGAATATCAAACTTTTTGTGTTAGATGTGTAAATACATAAGAATTGTGTGGTATGTATGTAATTTTTTTTAAGGAAAGGGAAGTTTACGTACCTAGTACAGAATTCTTCTGTATTTACACGTCTTAACACCATATTTACATGCATAGTACTTTGATGCTTTAAATCTATGCATGCAAAGTTGTATTTCACTTTTAAAAAGTGTGGAAGTGCTATTTTTGATGTGATATTCAAGATTTGAGTGCTTTATTTGTAAATATGAATGTTTTGGTGTCAGATATGTGAAGACATTAGAATTGTATGCTATCTATGTAAAAGCCCCCTTCTTTTTATCCAAATATTTGTGTAAATAATCTTCAGGTTTTAGCGTAAAGATAAGTGATTACTCAGGAACTTGCACATTGGAGTTCTTTGGTAATTGCCATATTGGGCATGTCATTTTTTCGCGAAACAACCAATGCTAGGAACATCTATAATGTGTATGTGCTCGAGACTATTATAGATGCCTGATATAATTTTTACAAAATAATTATTTACTGGTGTTGTTATCATTTTTGCACTTTTGATTTGGTATTTTGAATAACTGTTTATAATTTCCATTTTCCGTTTCAAATTCAATAAATTTACATAGTAGAGCCGAGCATACTTTTTTAGGAGCAGAATCTGCAGTTGATTGTATTCTAGGTTTTTCATTTTATCGGAGTAAAATAAGAGCATAATCTACAGTTGATAGTTTTTTAAGCTTTTTTATCAGGGAAGCGACATGAACAAGGAATCTACAGTCGATTGTTTTTTAGCATTTTTCATCAGGGAAGTAACATGAAAAAGTAATGTCATGTTGTTTGTCATCCAATTTCCTAACAGCTACTTTTTTTTCTTGGAGCATTTACATACATAGCACGCAATTCTTATTTATTTAAATATCTCCCACCTAATTTTCATATTTACACACATGATGCTCAAATATTTAATGTCACATAGAAAATAGCACTATCACCCCTTTTTAAAAGTAAAATAAAACTTTTCATGCATAGGTTTAATTAAAGCATCAAAGTGCAATGTCTGTAAATATGAAACTTTAGGTGTGAGACATGTAAATACATAATTATGCGCTGCTCATGTAAATTTCCCTTTCTTTTCTTTTTTAACTTGGTCCTTATGCTGTGGTAGTTCAGCATACAAAGGAGCTTAAGTCCATAAAACATGACTCCAAATGCTCATATAATTACACACAACATTCTTCCCTACTACTATAATTTCTATATAATCCTCAGAAGACACTGTTATCTTTCTCTTGTAAATTTTTTGATAATTAACGTGATTCCTGTGGAACTTTTTCTAGGGAATACTTTCTTCTGTTGTGTTAGATGGCGATATTCTCCACGGATGGAAATTGTATCCAATTTCCTTGGACCGGCTAAGCCTTTCAAATGAGACTTTAGTCAGACTACTGACAGAATCTGAAACTGCCAAGATTTCTATCCAGAATAGTTTACACTTTCATTCAAGTGCGTTCACTTCTACTCGAAGAAATGAATTGGACTGCCTTTATTTAATATTCATCTTCCTGCATACTCATTTGGTTTTAATTTAGAGCAAGTCTTTTGTGTTATTTATTTATGGGATTACTTACATACAGACCACTTAATTCCTATGTATGTACATGTCTAACAGCTAAACTTATATGCCAACTTACCTATGAAAAGGTGTATTTCACTTTTTAAAAAGTAAAATAGTAGTATTTTTGATGTGATATGAATGATCTAACTGATATAAATGTATAAAACCAAGTTTAGATGTTAGAGATGTAAATATATAAGAATTGGGTGGTATTTATGTAAATGGCCCTATCTATATGTATGCAAGTGGATTAATATTTCGTGATGAATATAGCATGAGCAATTCATGCTCTGATATTTTTCCTGGGACTAGAAATCATCGTTCGTAAAGTGCACTAGACAATATTTGTACTTTCAAAATTGATAATTTAAAATTATTATTATTGAGGCATATAACAAATATAAGGAATAAACTATTGTTAGCATGCAATTTCTAAATTAATTCAACAATTTGTTGTTCCTAGGACCCCAATGCTTACTTTACTAATATTCTAATGGTATTATATCCTTCTCATCCATTTGGCAGGGAGCGTGTCACAACAACCTGGATTTTACGAAGCACTCTACTTCATTGACCCAAATGATCAGATAAAAGATACCTTCATATCCTTTCAAGGTTGGAACAAAGGGGTTGCTTTTGTCAACAGCTTCAATATTGGGAGATTTTGGCCAGTAAGAATTTGTTTGGTTGCTCTTCCTATGCATGAAAATTTATTTTCTTGTTTAGATTTTCTATGTAAAAGCTTTTTATTGGAAGGATCAGCATATGTATCACACGATTCTTATGTATTTAAATATCTAACCCATAAACTTTAAGATTTATATATATAGCACTCGAAATTGAAGGGTAGAACCACCCTTTTTTTTGGACCAAAATGGCGGCGGCAATTAGAGCAATTGCCCTCCCCGGATTCCATCTGGGTCCACCCCTGCTCAAATGTTCAATATCACAGCAAAAATATTATTATGAATAACTTTAAATGTGAAAAATATTTTTTCATGCATAGGTTTTTATGTGATTATGACGATAAAGTAGTATGTGTAAAGATTAAATTTTATGTGTAAGATATGTATATACATAATAATTGTGTGGTATGTAATTTTTTAAAACTTCCTTATTTATGCCTATCTCACTTAAATCGCTGACTTAATATCAAAAATCAGTTTTACTAACTTATAAAAGTGAAATACACATTTTCATGCATGACACCAAGATGTTGTACATGTGATATCAAACCTTGGGTTTTGAAATGTAAATACATACTAATTGTGTGCCATGTATGTATATTTCTTTCCACATTTTATTTTTATTTTATTTTATTTTTTTTTAAGTTTATTTGTTGATCTTCTGATTTATTATTGTAACTGCTTGCAGTCCTTAGGACCCCAATGTACTCTTTATGTTCCAGCTCCACTCCTTCACCATGGAAAAAATGTTGTGGTGAGTTTCATGTTTAACAGATGAAAAACTTAAATGTTAGTTCGACTTGACTCCTAATAATAATACTCTTTCTTTAGGAGGTTTTTAGCTCTTATCATTGTTAGTTTTTTTTTATATATATATATATATAATGAACATAAATTTATCCCATATATTTTATTTAAGATGAGGTGACACAATATCAATTATAAATTTAAGGGGCATTTACATACATACCAAGCAATTCTTATTTATTTACATATCTAACACCTAAGCTTTTATATTTACATTTATTACACTTTAGTACCATAAATCTTTACATGAAAAGGTGCATTTCACATTCAAAGATCTGAACGTTATACATGTAAATATTATATTATAGATGTCAGATGTGTAAATGCAGAAGATTTGTGTGGTATTAATGTAAATGTCCCTAAATTTAAATATGAGATCCAGATAAATTTTTCCTCTCTTGTCTGCTTCCAATTTAAATACTCATTGTTGCCCTTTTTTACAGGTAATATTTGAGCTTCATTCTCCCAAACCGGACCTAACGATTGAGTTCGTTCAGCAGCCTGATTTTACATGCGGTCAATGCAGCAGTGAGCGTGATTTTATTGGATAACAGCAAAAAGATAAGTGAATTATGTTCTTTTATGTCCATTTTTATTTTTAATAAATTTTTTATTGAGCTTAACTCAAAATTTAAACGCCCAAAATTCAAAACTTCATACAATTTTATCTATTGATTATTTGTGCTTTATTTTTTAAGGGGGCAATTATTATGTATTTACATATCTAACACCAACTTCAGTATTTACATTCATGGCACTCCAATTTCAATTATATTTTCTTTGTATTTTGGGTGAGGGTGTTTTGCGTGTTTGTTTTGGGTCAGCAGTCGGTATCTCTATTTTTTCTTTTATGGATGTATTCAAGGGTCCGAGTGGAGCTTCAGGTTTATCTCGCTTTCAATACGGTGATTACTCTTCTTCTACCCTTTCCCATTCTTCCCGCATCGCTCTTTGCCTCACCTTCTTGCCACTTGCTACTGCTGCCCAGAACCAGCATTTCATGTTGTTTTCTTGTTGTTCCAGCCAGTCCTGTAGACTTGTCGTTGCTGCTTAGAACAGCCAGTAATTGCAATTTTTCTGTTGTACATAACCACCTGCTCTATTTTGTCGCCATCCAAAACAACAAAGATACATTGTTTTATTGTTGTTTTCTGTCATTTGCTCTACTTTCCTGCTTGTTGACGGTCATCTAGGACAATTATCTGCCGCCGTTAGGGGTGTAAAAGAACCGAGCTTGAGCGAGCCCAGGCTTTGCTCGTGTATGGCTTGTTAAAAAAATATCAATGTTTGTGTTCAGCTCGTTTATATATCGAGCCTAAAAAATTTGTTGTGTTTGATTCGTTTGTTTAACGATATGTTCGTAAACAACGAATAACCATTTTGACAACCCTAGTGACGCAGCCATAGGTTGATATTAAAGGTAGATGCTAGATTTAAGTTTTATTATTTATATTAAAATATTTTTTTAAATAGAACTATTTCTCTATTTTTTTAACTAATAATTTTAATTGATTATAAATTTCTGTAATCTTTTTCAATTAAATTATTTAAAAATAATACTCAACAATTTACATATTATAACAACAACGACAATGACAAGCATTTATTGAACTAAGTGGGGAAAATTTAGAAAATTAATAATTTATATATCAAATATATATATTTATAGCTAAAATGAGTGTTTGGCTCGTTTAAGGTTATTTTCTGCTCATTTGATTAGCGAATAAATTGGTAATAAATTACTTATTAAGCTGAACTCGAGCTATTTGTGAACAACAAATTGTTTTGACAGCACTAGCTATCGTCTCCACCTCACCTATTGTTGTCGCTGCCTTCCAAACCCATATCGCAATCACCTATCCATGGAATCCACCCGTTCAGTATAGCGTGTTGTGCTTACAAGTTTAGATTTATTTTTGTTGTAATTGTTGTATTGTTATGCGCTGGTATTATAATATCAACAATAATCTTTAAAGGAATAATTTTATCCTTAATTCTATAAATTTTTACAATATTATCTTTTAAACTATTATATATGATCATTACCTTCATCATTATCTCTCCTTAATTTTCTCCAATCCATTTAGTTTTATTGAATGCATGAGATCATTATTGTTCCAAGTTAATTTCCCTTAAAAATATTTCTATGAACAAAAAATAATAATAATAATAATAAATAAATAAGACCTACTAAAGCTCAAGTAGGGGTGTAAGAAAAGCTTGAATCTGTTGATTAATTAATCAACTTTGAATATAATCAACTTTGAATACAAACTGCGCACATGAATAAAGAAAAAATTTGTTCAATTGCACCCCTCAATAGGGAGAGAGATTTGCGTACGCAAAGCCTAAGCAGAGATGCATACATTTTAAGCCTTTCATAGAGTACAGTTATGTTATACTTAGGTTACAGGAAGAATTACAAGGAAATTACACTTAAGTGTAACGTAATTGTACCCTACGAAAGACTTAAAATGTACACATCTCTGCCTACGTTTTCCGTACGTAAATATTGCTCCTCAATAGGAGCATCCAATTACTATTTCATAAAGATTTACTGCACTTATTAAAATTTTTAACACAAAAGCTTCAGCTCTATAAATCTTTTCAGAATATTGAACCGAACACGATCAGAAATATACAAAATATTAACAAATAAAAATAAATACAGAAGTTAAATTGCAGGGGTCTGTAAATCACATAAATAGAACTCTCATGCATGTATTTGGATGTAATTGAAATAATAAGTGACATATAAATAAATATTAAAATTAAAATACTAAATAAGTGACATATGAATATGTTCATTCATTCATTCATTCATATTTGTAAATCTCACACATTTTTAAGGGCGATTACATACAGACCACCCAAAACTTACTATTTACAAATCAACCACGCTCTTTCATCCATACTTCAAATTCTCACTAAAACATCATGGTAAAACCCCAACTCACATTTCAATTTCTCAATTGTTTGAAAGTGACGTGTATAAATGCATCGATTTGATAGTTCGCAAAAATCACTTAATTTGTAAATATGAAGCACTAATTTTTAAACTTAAGACGCAAATCTCAAAAGCTTTATACACTCAATATTTAATGGTTCAAAAACTGCATTATGAATAACAGCTTGTATTAAATCCAACATACTTGCACTGAAATCTTTGAATAAATAGTAGTCTCCCAATGTGTGTTGCTCAAACAAATGCTTTCTTTCTAGAGTATACAATATACATGGGATCAGTACGCCCTGGGTTGGGTGATATGTCTAAAGCCTGCAAAATAGAAACTTTCAAACAGGTTCAGTTCGCAAATCAATATCTTGTTCATAGAACAATACTTGTATTCAGCTCTGTTTATATCATGCAATTAACCAAATCATTCATCCACAAATCACAAAAAAATCATCAAAGTGTGCCCTACTAGTTGCAAAAATATCATTTTCGTCGCGCAGGTAACAGAACCACCATCCCACAGAAGCCAAATGGTTAGGGGTGATCACTGGCAGAATCAGGAAAAAATATTGCGTCTAGAGTCCGGACGCAAAGCTACGTCCATACAACAAACGCATTACACCGAACGGAGCGGAGGGGGAAAAAAAACCGCCCCCGGTGTATCGCGTCCGGACTCTGGACGCAATATTTTCTCCAAAATCAGGGTTTCAAATTCAGAGTTAGAGGGTGAGATAACTTACCCAATATTTAAGGTGTCATAGTTTCTAAATTAAACATAATTTTTTTTTTATTATTAGGCAAGATAAGTGCTAAAATCAGGCACCTGAAATTCTTCATTTTATTTCCAACCAATGTTCTATACATTCAAGCAAATAACCGACTTCATTGATTACACCGAAAGTTGCAAAAACATTAGCTTCCACTCCGCTGATACCATACAGTTTGATACGATCAATTGCAGAATTAGAATTTTTCTATATAGAAATTTTAATAAACATGTATTATAAAAAACTATATAGAATTTTTTTTTTTTGAATCTAGAACGAATGAGAACCGCCACAACCACTCCCTGATTCTACCACTGTATATGACTCCTATTGCATGGTGCCAAACAAAATCAAGTTTTGGAAGACAGCATCAACCACTTGCATGCAAGCAATACAAAACTTCAATGCAGCAAAGAAAATAGAAATTTTAAGGCAGTTATAAAAGGCAGGAATCATAAAAAAGTTACTAAAAATCAAGGATGGTTTACATACATATCAATCAGCTCCGATGTATTTACAAATCTAACTTTTTATGCATGCATAAGGTGACAAAAAGTAAAAAATTGAAATTTTGATGTTAGATATGTAAATATATAGGAACCGGGTGTAAAATCAATATTTAAGTACATACCACCGGTGGCTCGAATCCTCCGGCGTAGTGGAAATAAGAGCCGACAATCCATGCATGATCAGCATCACCAGTTGATGTCCAGATAGAGATGGCTTTTGTCCAAAAGCAACGATTTGAGAAGCTGTTTCGCAATTTTGTGATCAATATGAATAGGAATATCTATATATTTACATATCTGACAACTTAGCTTCCTTTTACACACGCACAGACACGTACAAACACACAACATTCAATTCATGTATTATTTTTTTATGTGATGTCAAAGAATTGGGTGGTAAAAATATAAAATGTAAAGTTCAGGTGTTACATATGTAAATACATAGGAATTAGGTGGGATGTATGTAAATGACCTTGTAAATAACCTAAGGAAGATTTACATACATCCAGTCAATTCTTATGTATCTACATATCTAACACCTAAACTTCAACTTTTACATATATGGCACCTTATGCATGAAAATATGTATTTCACTTTTTAGAAGTTAAAATACTGATGTTTTTTTATGGGATGTGAAAGAATTGAGTGATATAAATATAAAAGAGTAAAGTTTGTGTTAGATATGTAAATACATAGGAATTAGGTGGCATGCATGTAAATGCCCCTATACTTTATTTGCAGTGTAATGCTCTATAGTCTTTGGGCCAAAAATATCAAAAGTAAATGAAGCATACAGACTTTCACCTTAATTTCTATCGAACAAAGGAAAACCAGATTTAAAATTTTTAAGAAAGACCATAGTTTCATGGACAGAAGATGATGAATAAACTATATATAAACAACTTATATATATATATCACTCAATTATTATGTATTTACATATCTAACACCTAAACTTCAATTTTTAAATATATGGCACTTCACATATGCATGAACAAGTGTATTTCACATTTCACTAATTAAAAAAGTGGTATTTTTAACGTGATATGAAAGATTTGAGTGGTATAAATGAAAAAAAAAAATCAAATTTTAGGTGTTAGGTATGTAAATACATAAGAATTGAGTAGTATGTATGTAAACGACCCAGCAAATAAATAATAACTATGTGCTACCTCATTATAGCCAAACCCTCTGGCTTGAGAATTCGGTGCATTTCCTTGAAAACATCAATTGGTTTGGTCAAATAATCAACACTAACCTGAAAAGAAACAGCAGAAAGTTTCCATAAATAATCCAAGTAAAAAAGAAATATTACAAATGATTTCCTTCATTGGAAACAAATATATGGAAAGTATTTATACAAAAAAGACATAAAGAAGGTAATCAATGGTAATACATACATTTATACTCTCCTTATGGCAGCCATACATACCTATTATACAATCCTTATGACAGCCATGAATTCTAATTATAGCCTGTATGCATTTAAGAACCACGTCACCCCCCTCTTTTCCCCCAACTCCTATAAACAACAACGAGGTACAAAAAAAAAAAATGGAAGATTTACATTAATACCACTCAATTCTTATGTGTTTACGTATCTAACACCTTAACTTCAATTTTTACATATATACCACCTTACCTATGAATGAAAGGGTGTATGTCACTTTCTAAAAGTTAAAATGGATATTATTTATGTGATACGAAATGCAAAAAATGCCCTTTACATGGATCATAATATGTATCCTTTCAACTCAATGTCATACAACAAGCGAACAATTTACATTGTTTCGTCTAGTAATACTTAGAAAAAGACAATGATGATCGAAAGGTCTCTAAGTTATATCTGTATAGGAAAAGTTTAGGAAGATTTACATACATAACACTCAATGCTTATGTTTACATATTTAGCATCTAAACTTCAAATTTACATACATACCACCTTAGCTATGCATGAAAAGGTGCATTTCACTTCATTTCACTTTTAAAAAGTTAAAAAGTTAAAATAGCAAAGTTTAAGTTGTGCAAATACCTAGGAATTGGTAGGTATGTATGCAAACGCCCCAAATTTTAAGCAGATCCCTAAGGAATAGATAGCAATTCATGTTGGTTCATGTTTTTAAAAACACCAAAATTAGGTTCCCCTTCTTAAATCACAAAGAAGTCCCTAACTTATAGATAGAACTACATGGTGATTCACAGTTTTAGAAACAATTATTGCATAAGGCCATTAGTCCAGAAAATATTCACGAAACAATAGAGAAAGTGGAATAAAACATACCACATTAGTTATAACATCAAATGAATTATCTTCAAATGGAAGTTTTGGGTTCACGTTCAGGTCTTGTACAATGTATTCTGTTAAAACCTGAGAATATAACGAGTAAATAAGCAAACACTTAGTCAATGAAGCCAAGTAAAAAAACATTTTCATTATAAGTAAAACAGAATTATCAAAAAAATTATCAAACAGTAATTTATTGTGAGTGATGTACCAAAAACCATAATCTGTTTATTGCAAGATAATTACTCCAAAATAGACAGAAAAAGGAATTTCAAATGCTATGCCTACTTAGATTTCCTTATATTGCAATTAGAAGTGTGCATTATTTGGTAAAAACTGAAGAACCGAATAGTGTCAAAGTTTGGTTAATTTGGTTCGGTTTCAAAAATGCATTTTCATTTGTTGGTTTTAAAACCTCAAGATTAGGTTTTCATTATTGGTTAGATTTTAATATTTCATTTAACCGAATGAATCAAGAAACCAAAAAAAAAAAAATGAAATTAAATGTAGGATTCATGAAATTAAATGGATATCATATATCTAAGTTGTATAATTCTTGATGTTTATTCATAAATGAACTCCACCTAACACCTAAACGAAGTATTTAAAGCAAATTAAATTTCGGTTTGCTCAGTTCAGTTTTATCAAAATTTTGATTGGTTCGATTTTTCAGATTTCGGATTTCGGTTGCAATCAGTTTGAAAAATTAAAAAACCTGTCCATCCAAACTGACCAAATGCTCACGCCTAAATTCACAGTTTATGAAACTCTCATCACTAAAACTTCTTCAAAATCAGAATTTTTTTATAAATGAGCTGCTAACTAGCAAAAATTTGTTAAATACCGGATTTTGCTTGAGCTCATCTTCATTCAGTCCCATCCCCACAATTCTGTCTTGCTTGTAACCTGCTGGATAATGGCTGACCTGCATCATTAGAAAAAAATAGCTACAGGGTTTACATAGGAATAGAGACAATTTTTTAGAATTAAAAAACAGGAGCATTTACATAAATACCACCCAATTCTTATGTATTTCTATATCTAACACCTAAGTTTACTTTTTACATTTAAAAAACCCAAAGCCTTCATATTACAACAAAAATACCACTATTTTAACTTTTAAAAAATGAACTAAACCTTTTCATGCATGGGTAAGGTGGCATATATGTAAAAATTAAAGTTTAGATGTTCGGATATATAAATACATAAGAATTGAGGGGTATATGTGTAAATCTTCCAAAAAAAATAAAAGTAGTGGAGCTTAATGAAAACTTTACCCAACTGCTGCAAAGATCAAGAAGGCACACCCCTGGTGTATTACTTGAGGGAAGCGCCTTAGAGTAGAATTTCGTAAGGGCAGAAATAGCCGGATCATCTATATGTGTGACAAAACGAGGTTCAGAGTAGAACAAAGAGTCCAAAGACCTGTCAATTCATTGAGAAACATCATTAAAATGCATTTCAAACCCACTAAACAAAACATTAGAAGGTCTAAAGCAAATTGTTGGAAATTTTTACAAGTTTACAAGAGACAAAAAGAAAGGAAAGATTAAAGAACAATATTTTACGATATATTGCAGGGCCATCAGTTAAACAATTGTAGAATATGTCCACAAGCTCACAAGGAACAAAAAGACGTTAAAAGATTAAAGATTTAAACAACATCAATTCATGGTATCTTACAAAATGATCATCATTAGCCTTATCCCAACTATTTGGGCTTAGCTTTATGAATAATCATGTTCCATTCATTCGGTGATGCATGGTGACAAAGCTGTGTTACACAAATAAATTTGCACAACTTATTCAATCAACCCAAATCCTTTGATAATAATTTTATTTACTTATCACATTCGTGCATCATCTACTCTTTAATGTATACATCTAAACTACCTAAGGCGGTGTTTGATAGCCTAAGATTAATAAGATTTAGGAGTGATTTTAACCTAAATCCATCCAAACGTGAGATAATGTATAAATAAGACAGTTTGCTAAACCAAATTCTCTGCTTCCATTAATTTTTTGATGTAAATCCAGATTTACTAAATCTAATTTTTACGTGGATTACACATAATTAGTGCACAAGAAAACCAAATCCTAACAAAATGCCAAACAAAAGAGATGAATTTAAGCAGACTTAAGCGGATTTAAGTTAAATCTTACCAAACATCTTTTTGGATTTATCAACACTGGAATTTATAAATCCGGATTTACCGGATTTACTAAATCCTACACGCAGCCATTATCTTCAAATACTGTTAAAAGCACAATCTCTCATATATAATCATTTTTCAATCTAGCATTCCTATTTTGACCACAAATCTATCATCATATTCTTATTTTTGTCACACTCAGCTTGTTAATCAAAGACTTACTTAATTTCCAACAATAAAAATTAGTACAATCAGAGAACAAAATTGTTTTCTCGAACATGAGTGATGTTAACAATATTTTCCTGGTCAAACACTGAACATCAATATTCAATACTACGCAGCATCCAAACCAGTGGGTTTCGAGGCTTCAGTACTCATCGAAGCGGCTGAAATCCTCGTCCTTAAAGGGAAACTTCTCCGGCCATTCGACGTCCTTCAGAACCTAGAACCAGAAAGGCAGTAAGGTAAAATTTCCCCGCCTTCCACGAGACCAAAATTCAAAACCCTAAAATGTTGCGCGCTTCCTAGAACCGCACCTGCTCCACTGGAGAGACTCCCTGCTTCGGCCAGGCCAGTGCTGTCAGTGAGCGGCTGCTGTTGCTGGAACTCATTCGTCGGAGCTGATCGAGAAACGACGCCCCCAGACCGAGGAAGAGCCGCCGAGGGGGAACTCCAAAGCCAGCCCCGCCGCCGGAAGCTAGCCGGAAAGTGATGAAAGGACGGAAGAGGGAAGATGCTATTGAAGAGGCCATGAGGACGGCGGTGATAAGATCGCCGTCGGTGAACCTATCTTAAGAGCCGGCTGGGGGACGGAGAGAGGAGGCGTGGCCATTTTGTATACACTAACATCAAAGGAGCATCGTGTGGATAAATAATAGCAGAAATGATCTAAAATCAAGGGGATGTTCGATTGGAATAATTTGCAGTTTACTTTAATTCTTTGAAAAAAAAAATTAGAAATTAATTATTTGGCACTAAAAATTAAAAATATAATATAATATATATGAATGAATTTAGGATTTAATAAATTTGACGTAAATGGATATTTATATTATTCATTAATGTAAAATGCTATCGGTCTAGTCACGTATTGTCGGTCATCGTCATCAGTAACCTCCTACCGCCCGTCGCCGCTTGCCCACCGCCCACTCGCAGTAGCCAACCCCAGACAGACAACCCAACCAACGTCCACTGGCCATCGCAACCCCTATGTCGCTCGCTATCTACTGCTTAGTGCCCACCATCGCCACCAACTGTCTATCATGGTACGTCGCCTCCAGCCTCTGCCACCCACCCCACTATTATTGGCCACCTTTGTTGTAGTTGCCGCCACCGCCTCCCACCCGCAACCGACGTCAACCTCCTACCCGATGTCGCGGCTGCCGGCCTCCTTGAAACTGCCACCACTGAACGTCCTCCTTGAACCTGCCACCACTGAACGTCGCCCACCACTCGCCAGTAATACTTTATATAGATGTGATTTATATTATTTTTAATTTACTCCAAATCCAATAAAAAAATATAAAGTCCTTCTATGTTTATTTTAAAGTGATTCAAACAATTCAAAACTATTTCTAATGCAATATATTATATTACATTCATTTTACATTGCATTATATTTCGAGCAAAATCAAATGGCTCTTAAAATTAGGAAGATTTGAAAGATTTTAAAGATTAAGCTATTTCGGGGCGGATCAATTTGTTTTGCTTATTCGACCGGGGCGGATTAATCCTCAGTACGATAAGAGGAAGTAAAAAACGAGAACATCTAAATATTGTAACTCGCGAGTCAAAGAATGATACTTTAAAGCATGCGAGCTAGTCCTAGAGAAGGTTGATGCATTAGCTTGGAACCAGACGCTCAAGCAACTTGACCCCTCATGGATCAAACCAAAGATTGTCAAAGAACAAATCAGACCAGATGCATACAAGCTAATCAAAGGTAAAGAAGTCTCTAGGACATGGAGTAGAGCCGATCTAAACATATTATACCCATAAAAATGGAAACGTGCCAATACTCATATAAACTAAAGTATATATAAAGCTAACACAAGCAGGAAGAGGAGCAAGCCCCTACAAATCTAATGTACACCTGGCTCGGGTAACTCACCACACATATAACAACAGACATAATATAACTTGAGTCTCTATATTACATGTCAACTTCAACAGTTATATAAAGTAAAGAAAGATACACATTCCTCGCTCTTTCTGGAAATCGAAAGCTCCACCTTCTCAACCTTTCGGAAAATTGGAAGCCGTTGTGGTAGCGGTGTTGTGGCTTCTCCCACGGGTGAACTATCACGAGGTCCCCCAATTACCAATTGGAAGGCCTTGAGAAGGCTGAAAAGGATTCTACTAGATGATTTTCTTCCTCGAGGATCGCTGCACTAGCAAAGCTAGAGCTCGAGAAACACTTCTGGTGAATATGTTAGAAGTAACAAAGACAATCGGTCGGACCCAAGATTATCAGCTTCCCCTTCATCAGGTTAAGTATATAGTAGCAGGGCTCGGACTCCTCTTATGTATATCCTCCACCGAGTAAGACAATTGGGGAGCTAAATGTCAGGTGAATCCAAACTGACCAATGCTCAAATTCAACGAGCAAAATGCCTCATGATTTGGATATCAACAAGCAAAATGATTACTATTTTGATGATAGTACCGATGAAGATAGCTCGACTCCCCTACCCTCAGGATCTCTTGCAACGGCACGATCTTCACACATCAAATTTACTTTTATTCCCCAAATCACTCTACACAAAATTCTTAAAGAGGTCTTTGGTAGCATGCTTTTAAAATTTAATCATGACTTTAACATGAATCTAGTCAAACACCAAAAAAATAAAAACTAAATCCAACGCACCGTAAAATTGAATTTCTTCTCTTTCCATCTTTTTCTATAGTCGTTTTGTCTCTTTTGAGAGTAAGTTTGAATTTAATAAAAGTCTATTTGGTCAAATGTATAGTTTTAAAAAGTCAATGTAAACTTCAAACTGCTAAAGAAGTTTTTCAAAAAATTGTGATTACTATTTAAGCGACAGCCACTGTAGGTAGCCAGATCTGATGAGAAAACACAATTTTTAGCCGCATCGCTGCCCCAAACATAGAGATACAAATTTAAAAGATTTACACTGTCATTGCTTGCAATCTTCATTCTTATCACGGATCTTCATATTTGTCGGATTTGATAAATCCTTCTAAATTTAAATCCGGCACTACAACCAAACATTACTTTAAGATTTGCAGGGTTTCACCTTGTTACTCACTCATGCTTATTTATTAAATTTCAACATCCTTCTTAAGAGATAGAAAGAAAACCATTTGATTTTCATTATTTAAATAACTTATGAAAATTTCCTGAGGGACCAAAAAATAATGACACTAATTATCATCGCATCCTTCATATCTCCAACGCATCATATTCCATCTTCTCAAATACCACAACAATTAAACCCCCCCATCCATTATTTCCTCCCCCAAATCTAAGCCGCTGCGGCCGACATCCTAAACCGGTAAACACTGAACCGAGCGACCGGCGCCACCGCCGCCAATAAAACC